GATCCTCTTCAGAGTTGCTGTTTGGCTGCCATTGGCCATTTGGAGACCGGACCCCCACCGGCACAGTGCCAAGCAGCTCAACCTGCCCCACAAGCAAATTGGCCTTCGTTTGTCCGATTGCGAAGGTGCCTCTCATATGTGTGTTCCAGGACCTCACTTCCCAGCTCTTCCTTTTCGTAGGGTCTTGATGAAAGATCTTATCGATCCATTGTTTCTGTATCATAATCGCCTTCTTTGGCTGGAGTATCACGCAGGTCCTCAGGATTAAGGTGACAATGCGAGAACATGCTCACACATGTTGACAGCAATAATGAACATGATGTGTTTGTTCAACCTGAGTGGGTTCCAAAACGTTTACAAAGCAGCTTCTCCTTGACATGCTGGGCAGCAGCAGGATGCAAGCCCCACAAATACTAAGTCAAGTAAAAAGGATGTTGAAAAATGATGAGTGTCAGTAAAATGTCATTGCAAAAATATTTCCCCCGTTAAAGTGAATCAGCCTCTGAGTCCTTGAGCCTTCAGCCACAGAGGTTCCAAGCAGCTCCATGACAGGACTGTGAAGAAACGAACCAATGCTTTTCTTGTCGGGCTTTGACTGTGAGTGTAGTTGCCATGCCCGGCATGACCTAGCAGTGGTGCGTGGATTGTGCCGGGCATGGCTTTACTTTTCATAATGCATCTGTAGTTTTGAGATGATGTGTTTCAAGTTTTTGCTCATTCCCAAAAACGTTAGCGGCATTTTTCACAGCGCCTGACTGACCTAAGCTACCTTCTTCTTCTTCTTGAATTTGGGAATTCGGGCATATGCAGCCGACGGAAGGCTTCCGGACGGAGTCGGCTCAGCCCAAATATCCAAGGGCAATTCCTGCAAGATGTTAACACTGTACAGGGCTCGGGGCAGGACTCGCTGCAAAATGTTCAGCGACATCCCATCCCCAATTGCCTTCCCCATTTCAGTCACTGAATCATTTGCCTGCAACATGACCTCGACCCAATCCTTGCGCCACCCCTGAAGCCCAGCCATCTCATACAAGCTCATGAAGCGGCCAGACTTCATCAGATAGAAGCCTTGTTGGCCTCCTCGTGCTTTGGTAATGCAGGGACTCTTGCCACATGTCATGTGGAAGAATGCATCGCTGGCCATCGCATCCACGACAACCTCGTCACCTGCATCGTCACTGATGTCGATGCCCTTCTCCTTAAGCAGTTTCTTCCTTGGTAGAGGTCAAAGGAGACAGTAGTAAGCTTGTTGAATGAAAAAATGTTAATCGGATCAAATTATCAGACTAGCATCGCTCGCTTCACATTCTTTACTGCAACCTCACTCAGCTTCGTAGCCTTCTTGGCGCCATGGTCTTTGGCAAGAAATCTCTTCAGTGATGATTGGTAGTTCACTGGGTCCGGAAATTGAAACGGCCGGGCTATGCAATTTTTCAAAAGTGCCACCAGGTAGACTCGAGGTCGGCTCTGCGGAATTCCATGCTCCTCAGTGTTGAGCAATGAACAGTAGCACTTGTACCCAGCTTTGCTCAGGCACTTTGAGATCCTCTTCAGAATCCATTTGCGCTTGTCCGATATCAGTCCTTTGACATTTTCTAGCACAAAAACAGGCGGCTTCTTTTGCAAGACATACTTCACTGAGTGGAGGAGTACCCACCCCCGGCTGTCAGCCATTCCCCCCCCTGTCCCTGCCGATGAGAATGGGGGGCAGGGGGCTCCAGATACAAATATGTCCAAGTCTGGTGCAGTGTCATTGTCCCGCTCCAGCACATTCTTGTAGACAATATCTGGGGTATCGTTGCCCAGATGTGATGCTATGGCTCTGAGCCACTGAAGCTTGTTCTCATCCATTTCCGCCACAAATTTTGTCTTGACTTGAATGCTGTCATCCAAGATAACCGTCAAACTTACATAGTCAGAGCCCAATCCAGCGCAATCAGAACCAAGGCGGATGCTTCGTCCTGGTTTCCACCTCTTTGGCGGTGCAGAAGCTGCAGCCTCAGCTAAATTTTCTATCTCCTTGAAGAGTTCCTCAGCCAGCTTTTCCTGGTCGACACTGCATTTCACCGGCTTTTTCATCGGTGCTTGCTTGGGTTCTTTCTTCGTCTTTGCAATGCTCTTCTTAACCATCGGCCCTGCCATGTTAGTCTTTGCCACCTGCTTTGCAAGTCCTTTAGGTCGTGCAGGCTCAGCCTTGGATTTGGCTGCAACGCGGCCAACATCCGCAGTTTCATAGGATAAATCCTCCATTTTGATCTGCAAATAGCTACAGCAAAGCAAAAGAAATTGTGTGCGCTCAACTTCTTTATTTTAACAATATTCCACACACAAATTTTTCAGAATAATGACTTCTCACCGATCCTCCCATTTTGCTATCGCAACGCCGCTTGAGTGGTCCAGTCATCATCGGCCACCAAATATCTCCTGCCAGGCAACAAGTTTCAAGTTGGCAGCAATGACATTACAACGATTTGAGACTTGGAGCAACTTTCAAGCCAGCTCTTGTTTTTAACCTCCCCGCACCCCACGAGGTCTTTGAAAGTCTTTGGGCCACACCAAATGTCAGTCTCTGACAAATTGGATTTAATGGCTCTCAAAGTGAAAACCCATCGCTGTCTCAGAGGTCACTTCTCACGGCTCTCAGAGTCCTCATCGCTGCACAATTCCACCTGCTTAACTTTCTTGACGGTGGGGGTGGCGTTTTCGTCACCCTCCTTCTTAGTCTTCTTCGTCTTAGGCTTTTTGGGCTTGGCTTCACCGATCTTCTCACCATCGCTGCCGTCGTCACCTTCATCAGCTTTGCGCTTCTTCTTCATGGCCTTGTCAGGAACAATTCATAGATTAATTGTTCGAAAGTGATTGAAGTCAAGTGTAAACTTTTCATCAGGATAATTATAGCATTCAACGACAATGCGGTCCTGTCCCAACTTGCCCCATTCTGGGGAATACAGCGGGTTCCCTTCCGTTGACATGGCCGTCTTGATGTAGGAAATGAGCTCCTCCACACAATCAACACCAAAAAACTATTGTTGAATATTTAAACTTGTTTGTTTAATAATACTACGGCTTTCATCATGCCAGCCCAGCATGACCCAGCAGTGGCTGCAGGGTTGTGCCGGGCATGGCCAGAGAATGCCATCAGGTTTAATCGTTTAGTTTGTTGATTATTTTTGCTTTCCTGCAACTGAGCCGAGTCTCCTGATTCAAGGCCACTGAATGCCGCTCACTCAAGCATACTCCATAGTAAGGCAACCTCTTCTCAATGGCACTTTTGGCCAACTCTCCCTGCCCCGGCGTCAAGTCTAGGACAGCCGATATGCTCCATGACGACAAAATTGTGTCAAACAAATTCTTGGGCAAAAAGTGGTAGAAGCAAGGCTCCACATCAGTGTCTTTCCGAGCCAATTCCTCCTGCTCCGCCGCCTCCGGTTCCTCGTTGTTGTCATCATCAGGTTCACCACCGCCGGAGGTGCCAAAGATCTTGTTCTTGAAGATTTCCTGAAATAGGTCTCAAATAAAGTATGACATAAAAGTATAAAAGTTTTTTTAAGTATGACAAATCAAATTTAATCCAAGCCACCTTCTTGTCCTCAACGGTTGTGTGCCAGGTTTGAGCAGAAGATGCCAGCCCAACAAAAGCAAGGACGTTGCCTCTGTTCGACCCAGTGAACTTGTCGTGCTTCCTTTCTGGGACCATCCGGTCCAGACATTCTCGGGTGATAAAAGACAACCTCTGGATTTGGTTCACTGATCCTCTGTTCCGTTTCTTTTTGGACTTGATCGAATCCTGGCTGATCACCACGTTGAGATCAAAAATTTCCAGGTAACCATTCACACCTCGAGTTCCCCGGGTCTTGGCAGATCGGAACGGTGCCAAGCAAAGATCATTGCCTCGCCCACCATCATTGACAATGACAATGTCCCCCTCAATGGGGCAGTCAACCTGTGTGTTGCCCTTCCCGATTGGAGTTGACCCACGTGCCTTCAAGGCATTTCCAATCAAGGTGTGCAGCAGGTTGTCTTCAATGGGTGGTAGTCGGGTTGATGGTCTTTTCAAGCTTTCCCCAATCAGCTGGCTGTCACAATATATAAGCACAGCATTCTTGCCCGGAACTCCCTTAACATTGCTCGGCCCCAAACAGCTTTCCTGGATCATTTTGACAAAGGCTGCATCCGTCTCTGGCTGTGGCATTAGCCCCACATATATGTTGAGAAACTGTGCGGCCGTCGCAGTGAAATGTTCCTCAGACCCCCTTGTGTACTTTGAAGGCTCTGGTTTGATAAGCCCCTTTGCCAGCTTAGTGCTTTCACTCTCCTCCTCAGCCACCGGGGCGTCAACTGCCATGAGAGCCTTTGATTCAGCCAACTCCTGGTCCTTCTGCCTAACACAGTCCGCGAACCTCACCTGAAACGTCTCGATGTCATTGATCTCAAGAGGGTTGGGCTTTGTCACGTTCTTCTTCAAAGCCGTCAGCAATGCGCCACTGAGGCATGTTCCAAACAACAAGTCCTGGAAATGTCAGTTTGTATTTCATTATATTTCAATATTATTTTATGTCGTGGTGAAGTGTTTGATTGCGGTAAGTTCGAAATTGCATGACCAGTTAAAATCAAATAATGGCAGTCCTCCATCAGTCTCAGCGCCTTTTGACTGGAAACCACCAATGACGATTGCCATTTGTTCTCCACGGCTCCCTGCATATGTTCAGAGCCTGTCACAGTTGAACGGTACACCTCGTGAGTTTCAAGGTGGGCCTTGATTTGCTGAAGGTTCTCCAAATGAAAGCCCTGCCGTGGGCATTCAATGTTCAGAAAGAAGTCAGCACAGGTCCTCCGGAACTTGATGAACTCAACAGCTGAAGCCGAAGTCGCTGTTCCAGATAGGTAGCTTTTGCCAACCTCATGATTGAACAATTGAAGTTGATAGTTTCATAATTTATATAATTGAATTTACTTGTCAGTGACACGTCACAAAATGGCATAACATATAATATAACAACTTAGGCTGCCACGGCATCGTTTGTCAACAAGGGTGGGGTTCCACCAGCAGTAAGTGCATCTTCAATCCATGCAATTACCCACTGTCGCTCTTTCAGGTTGCCTGTTTTCTCCACAATGACCCTCAACTTACTCAAGTTGTTCAGGCAGGAGTCCAAACCGAACTTCTTCTCCAGCGAGTCCAATTTGCCATTGATGTAGTCGTTTTTCAGTAGCTTTTCATACACCTTCAGGCAGTCATTGATGAATTGGTCACTGTGCCCCATTTCCGATTTGGTGGACTCCGCCGTTTTCCCCATGCGATCTTTGTAGATAGCCGCAAGTTTCTTTACCGTCAAGGACTCTCCAAGCTCAGCTTCCTTTCTCTCCTTGAATATGGTCAGCTCATGAGTCCACTGTCTTGCTGTTCTCCGGATCGTGTCATGAGTCTGAACAATCCTGCCAGGGAGTCAATATCTAAAGCACTAACAAGTTTTACAAAAAAACAAAACATGCATTTGATAACACCTGTCCGCTGTCGCTGTTCGTAGGCTTCCCAGTAGTGGGCATCATCACCGTCGAGGACAACAAACATGACTGGAGTGCTAAGTAGCACAGCTTTCCATTCCTTGAGGGTTTCATCAGTAGTTTTATCATCCAAAACGAGTTCCTCAAGGTAGAAGATGATGCTATGAGTCAACTCCTCCGGGGTCACCTGCTTCCAACTCCCCTTGGACGCGTTGAGGTCCGTGTCAGTGGCTGGAACCCCAACAACCACCATCTCCCGCAAGTGTGCTGCACGACCACCTGAGAACACAGTCCTGGCCCACCTCCTCACTCGTTCTTCATCCATGGGAACACCTGGGCTAGAGCTGGTCACAATGTCCAGCCAGAACATGTTGCAGGCCGCCCCGTAAGCCTTCCCCCCACTCAGTGCCAGCTTGGCCTCGTCATTGTTGAAGACAGCCTGGCACAGCCAAATTGAATTTACCCAAAACAATACAATAAGCAGCAGCAGGCTTTTTAATTATGCAACGACTGCAGAAAATAAAGTTGTCCCACCTGAACACCACTCATCTTCTTGCCTGTGATGTCCAGCGGCGATTCTTCTTCCACTCTTGCAAAGACCTTGTGGTTCTGAATGGTTTGCAAAGCCGCCAGCAAGCGGTCATAGTAATCATGATTCACACTGTCCGTCGGGGGGGTCGGATGAACACTGGCAGAGATTGGTTTTGCTTTAGCTTTGGCTTTTGACTGGGGAGTCTGAGCCTTCTTAGCTGCAGCATTGTCTGCCTTCATCTTCTTCAGCTCATGAGTCCGCTCAGCAATCAGGTCATTCTTGGCTTTTTCTGCATCTTCCTCAGATATTCCTTCAGCAAGCTTCTGGCTTTTGATTTCATCACCTTCTTGTCTCAGCTGCTTCTCTTCGGTCTTATTCAGCCTCCACTTGCTCGCCATTGCTCCCAATCAATGGCTCCCACAAATCTTATTTGAGCCACTAAACTGACCTGATCAATAAAAGCAACTTGCAACTTATCAATAATTCAACGCACGACAAAAACATACACAGAACATATTTTCAACTGGCTGTCAGTCCTTGTCGACGCTGAACCAGTCCTGAGAGTTTTTTTGAAAAAGATTGCTGATGTTTATATGCTCTGGTTGCGCCCAGAAAATGTAAAAAATGTCAAGTGGTGACGAGAGGGGAGGGGGTCCTCTCGTCACCACTTGACATTGCCGCTGATTCAGCCCGGGCTGGCTTGACGAAAGGTGGTTTTTTGGGGCAGCCGCGTATAGCGGTTGCGGTGGTTGCGGCGGGACTGGCGTATAGCGGTTGCGGTGGTTGCGGTGGGACTGTCGTATAGCGGTTGCGGCGGTTGCGGTGGGACTGTCGTATAACGGTTGCGGCCTTTTAATTTCTCAATCATTTTTTAAGCTTTGAAATGATTAGTAAAGTAGTTAGGCGACCGGCGATGACCACAAATTAAAACTTCAAATGAGAATGAGAGTTGACATGAAATTGACAGCTGGTTCCAAATTTAAATTTGGTCATGTCATTCATCCAAGTTTCCGGCAAGGAATTCTTCATCGTAGTCTCGCAGCGGCGTCTTGGCTCATCGGTGTCATCACGTTGTCGATCACCTCCATCGTCATCAGCATCGTCGTGGAGATCCAAATTGTCTTCTTTAACGTCAACTGGCCCGGGATCAGCATCCTCACCGTCGTCGTCGTGGAGATCCAAATTGTCTTCTTTAACGTCAACTGGCCCGGGCACCCTCCGCCTTTTCTTGGCCTCCCTCCGCCGCTTCTTCCTTTGCAGGTTGGCTTTCCTTTTGATGTCACTATTCACAAGCCCCCCTCTTCCTAGCCATCCGCTCAATTTGGGAGCCAGTAGTCGGGGTGTAATTCTCCATGTCAAACTTCAGGAGATCGCCTGAGACAGAGTCAGAATTTGCAAAGGGGTCTGAAATTATATATTGTAAAAATATTTAATACGCTGTCAGTCAGTACACAGACATTTCAATTTGATTATATTTGATTAGATTTGTTTTTCTTTTATTGTCACTGATTACCATCATTTCCCATGATCTTGATTGTGTTTGAACAATTTCATCGTCATGATCACATAAGAATCCAAGTTACCAACAATGCTCAACGACTGCTTGGCTGTTGGTGTGGACATCAATTGTCTCCAGACATTACTCAGAGTTCCACCATATGAATTCCACCCTTTTGCTGTGCAGTGCGGGAGTTCCTGCCCAGGTAATGGCGGGTTGTCAAAAGCCATCTTTCCTTCTAGCATCTCAAACCTAGGCAGCAAACAAAATTGCACCTTGAAAAAAAACAATGTCTCAACCAACATCAATGCAAAGCAAGACCTTTGATAGAAAATTATCATCCAAGGTTCAGCATGCAACCAGCTCCCCAAATATCATTTCGTTCTGAACAGCGGACTTCTTCATGCCAAACATCACCCGGCAAGTACTCCGGAGTTCCACATGGGCCTAATAAAGCTGCGGCTTGGGCCTTGGAGCAGCACAAGCCAAAGTCACCTAGTTTGGCAACACCAGAGGTGAGGAAAACGTTGGCCGGCTTTATGTCAAGGTGGACCATGTCGTGGCTGTCATGCAGGTATCGTAAGCCAGAAACCAAGTTCGCAAGAATTCTTCCTGCAAATGCTGGTTCCACTCGACGAGCCGCGTGAATCGCCCCATGCAAGTCCCCTTCCAGTAGCTCCATCTCTATGTAGCGTATCCGCTGTGTACCTGTGAGGCCAATTTTGACTAGTCTTTCAATGAAGCTGAATGTTGTTATGCGCAAGTATTTAATTGCAAGTAGGTTGTCAAACTGATTCAACCATATTCAACCCCTTGCCTGAACCTGGACCAGGGAGGGTTTGAAACATGCCAGAGTCATAAATGGGTACTAGATTGGGGTGCCGTAGCTTGTACATGGTATCTCGCTCCTGCAGGGCTTGGAACTGTTTGAAAGAAAACATAGGACAATAATTAACTTTTGATAATCTGTCGATAATCTGTGAACTTTTAGGTCACGAATCTTTGAAACTAAACACAACATCAATGATTGAGCCAGCTGTCCTCTTTAAGGGCATCTGTGTCATAGTCAAGAGACAGCTTCAAGCACCTCTTGCTAAGGTCTGCCTTCTTCACCACACAGAAAGCTGCCCCCATACCTCCTCTCGCTAAGAGCTTGCAGCTGTCATACTTCTTGAACTTCATTACCCGGTTCTCCCACTCCAGCTGGGAAAATTCATCATCGTCATACATGGCGCTGGCTGTCCGGTTTGATGGTCAAAGCTGATGATGTCAGTAAACTAATGCATCAGTGGTTGCATTGTCACCCATTGAATTCTGTTCCTTAGTATCGTTTTTGGTGAGTGTCATAGATGGTTAGTTGTCACTGTGTTTGTCATTGTCTTGGCTTCTGTGTCTCAATGTTACTTGTTGTTATTCAAACTAATAAGCCACAATGTCAAAACATGAAGTGCTTGCACCGCTGAAACACCAATGAAACAGCAATGACAAAGGAAAAACCTTGACTTAAATAACAATAGGGTCAAGAACCCAGTCCCCGACAAAGCCCGGCAGCGTTGCTGGGCCTTGCTGGGCACAGGGATCAAAGACCCTCAATGAACTCAGCCCTCAATGGACAAAACGTATTTTGTTTGCGAGACGACCAGCTTCTTTTTTTGGACGGGCGCAATCGCAATCACTACCATAAAACCGAGGTCGCAGGTCACCTGAAGGCAGCTGGTTTTGATTTTTTGGGGGGGCTGGGGAGGTTCATTCAATGATATAACGCAGACAATCAAGCAAAAGAAAACCAGTGCAAAAAAACTACATGCCTCCTCAATTAGACAAGTTGGCCAACAACTTCAGTCAATGTGACTTCAACTCAACAGCATTCAACTCAGCTCACGTATTTTTGAACCCTCGCAGCGCAACGCTGTGTGCCCCATCACTCCCCCATTGGCAGCTGTCTAGCTGAACAAGAGATTCAAGTCGTAGTCTTAGTGGCGCTGTCAATCCACAGTGACATAACCTTTTTCAATGATGAGATCAACAAATTGGACTTCTGGCGTTTCCCAACACCACCAAGACTGAGACCAAGACCTACTCAAACTTTGTCACAGTCCAGACTTCTTTTTGTCTAGCTTTGAAACATGGTCTATGAAGGATGATTTCGTGAACCAGTTGTCAGGCTGGCCATCGCCGCACTCACGGCTGACAGCAAGAACGCTTGCATCCACAGCAGCCATCGACAACTCCCACTTGGTGCCACGCATCGATTTCACACCTGTTAACATAAAAACAACAAAAATTGGACAATGCTCTGATTATTAGGGATTATAAACATACAAAAAAAGTTTGCAAAATACTGCAAATACACCAAAAAACCTTAATTTGGCAACAGCAAGGCTCGATTGATCAAATTGAAAATGGCCCTGTGACTGTCTTTGAAGTCCCTCGTAATGTGTAGCTTCATTTTGTTCTTCCGGGCTGGCTTAAAATACAAGAGCAAACCACCTTTGCCTTGGATTGCAGAGCTGTCCACAACAACCTTCCCCATAAGTGACCCAATCCACCGGACACGTTCAGGGGGGTTCAGCTGCATCTTGCACCACAAAGCCATCGGCCATCCACCTGTCTGTCGTCACTGACAAGTTGTGCTCCGCCAATCTTCGGAGCAGCTCAGGGGTCTGCGACTCTACCCAAAAGGACATGCCAGACCAAGCCCCCCAGTCCAGTGTCAATTTGGTCTTCTGTGATGCCCGCTCTCTCCTTTTGCGATCTGCAATCAGCTTTTTGTCATTCAATGCGTCTACATCCTTTCGTTTCATGAATTCATCCCTGAGATCATCAGTCAGGTCCAAGGTGCCAAATTCAATGGCCTCAAGCCTCAGCTTCATTTGCTTGTCTTTCTGAAATTGCTTCTCACCCTCATGCCACTCACTCCATTCTGCACTTTGCTCAACTCCTTCAAGGTCTCAGTCCAAGTTCTCAACACTTTGAATGGCATGGTCAACTCCTCGTCTCCTCTTCCGCAGCCATGCTTGTATGGTGTTTGGCTCACCATCCGGAGTTTGCCTTTTCAGGCCCTTGTCAATGCGTTCATCTGTTCGATCCCGTCCTGCTTTGATCTCAAAAGATAACTAAAAGAAAATACTCAGAAAATAATATCTGATTCAACCGAGATTTGAAAATCAAAGCATTCCAAACAAAAACTCCTTGGCCAGAACTGCATTCAGAGTACAACTTCTGTGCTGCAATGCAAATCAACTTCTTGTCAAAGTTGCCACAAAGTAAACGCACTGACCTTGATTCAAACTCCTCAGACGCTCCACTTCTTCCTGTGGAGTTGAAGTAGTCAGACTTGCTGAAGTTTTGCTCCAAGGCTGATGTGCTGGCTTGCCAAGCAATATATCGAAAAAGCACAGGCTTAAGATTCTCTGCTGGAAAGTTTGCCTCCCGCTTCATCACCCTCTTCAATGTTTCACACCAAGCTTCCCGGTTTCCACACTTGGTCATGCTTGCTATCCTGACACATCCAAGTCAGTTGTAAGAGGGTTGCCAAAGATAGGACTGAAGAAAACAAGAAATCAAGAAAATTAAACAAATAATGTATAAACCAATCATCAGCAAGACTCCTTGAAGCCATTGGCCGCAAACGCTGAAGCTCAGAATACAAACCATGCTCATTGACCCCAAACGCCTTTGCCAAACGTTTTGCACATGTTGTATCATCAACCGAGAACTCAGTCACAGCCATTGTTGTCTTAGCCGTAGTCTTAGCCAATCCAAAGATGCCCAGTGAAGCAAACAAAGTATAGTCTGGCCATTCCGTCCGAAGAACTTCCATGACTAACTTCATCCAGCATCCCATTCGGTGGAACAAACGGTCCATTGTTGCAGCAGCATTCGGCAGCCTCAGTCGATGAACCTGTCCTTTGACAATGTAGGACACGTTTCCTTGTTGCAGGAGGTCTGTCATATACTTTGTGTACCCGGGTGTTGTCAATGCAAGGCGATCCGGGCCAAACAAACCATGCAGTCGATCAACCAAAGCCTGTATGTCTAATGGTAAGCTAGCGACATCGACGCTTTCAGCGTCCACAATCCTTAGAATTGAGTTGAATTGAATGATAACAATTACAATAATCACCAAGTTGTTTTCAAAACAAACATCAGAATCAGGTAAACCCAAAACCAAAACCTGCAAAGCAAACCCAACATTTACTAATAACTAAGGCACCTGACAAGCAACATTGTTTCGTCCAGCCCATCAGCGAGTAATGAGAGCTGTAGAAGCTTCTCTGCTGTCAAGCCTTGAAGAAAGGCTTTGGTCTCAGTCGCAATATTGTCAGCCCTGGACTCACAAATCCGCTGCATAGTCTTTAGGAACTGTGGGAGATAAAGGATACACCTCCCCATCGGTGCCGCCAAGCTCTCAAAGCGGTGCTTAGCTGCCCTCAGAGATTTCATGTTTGTCCCAAGCTCAGGATCAGCAGCTTCAATCTCCTCAGTCAAGATCCTCTTTAAGTCCCAAGAGTTGTGCAGCCGCTGCACCACTGAAGATTTGGCTGTGACAAACTCATCAACAATAGAATCCAAGTACTCATCACATTTGAAAGGCCTTGTCATCAACCGCCTGAAACTGTGAGCTTTGTCCCTCCCGATCATCTTCAAGTTTGGAGTCAGCGCAGTTTCCACGGTGTCTCCTTCAAGCTTGCTACTGCGGTGACCAGCCCCAATATTGCTCGCCAGGATTTCATTAGCAGCCGCATCGGTTGTCAGCAATTCAATGTGTTCCCTTAGTCAGTCAGCCCAGATCCAATCACAAAAGGTGTCACATGGTTTAAAGCGCGATTCAAAAATAAAAACTGCAAAGTAGTTAGCAGCCAGGTACCGAACATAGTTGAAGAGTTCCTCATTGAAATAGGCCGGCGGTCCGTGATACCACCGTGGAGGCGCCCCCCAGGAGGTACATACCCGCTTCAAAATATGTCGAGTGGCTTTGACGATCTCACCCGCATTGTCCCCAAAATCCCGAACTAATCCCAAGATGCCGGCATGGCTGTTTCCTTTCCCATCACACGATCCAAATCGGATCAGGAGGCGCTGGCGTCGCGCGTCCCTGGTCAAAGACAAAGTTTGAGCATTTCTGAGATGCTCCCTAATCCTTGGCTTCACTAAGAACGGTCACACAATCAAAATTTATGGTAAAAAAATGTCAATCCCTACAAAATAAAGATCAACTTAAAGAAAGACTATGCAAACGCAGAAAAACTTCAGGCCAGTATCTCACACAATGCAGCTTCTTGGAGGCTCCAGGCAATGAGAGCGACTTTGTCTGAGAAAGATGATTTGGACGTGCCTCTGAGTGAGGATCCCGATTGAAGTTGGTCTAAGACATCTTCAAACTCTGAAAGGGCGGGGGCCCCCGCAGGCCCTGCGTTCACTTTCAACATCTGCTTCACTGCCTGGACATGACTTTTGCTCTTGGCATGCTTGGTAACAAACCAAAGCCGCAGGTCTTTTACATCACTGCCTGCAGTTCCATCAGACCATGCCCCATTCAGCGAAGCTCGGTTGCATGGGATGCAAAGCAAACCAGTCTTTGAAACCGCGAGCCAGGATTCCTCAGACAGCGTCTTCTCCGCTACACCCAGGTGTTCCAAAGTAGAACCATCCAAGCAAGAACCCATCACAGTATTCTTCTGCCAGTCACGGACTTTCTTGGCCAAAGCGGCTGTGTCGACTTTTGTAACAGGTTCGTCGTCGCCTGTCGGTTTGTCAAGTTTGATGTCACTCAGCCGTTTTTCTTTCCTCTTCTTTGGCTTCGGGGTGATCTCCTCCTTGGGCAATGCTGGCAAACAGTGGGAAAAGGACATGTCACTTTCATCCTCCATAGCTGCAGCAAATGATGTTTGATCAGAAGATGTCTTACATTACTTTTAAGACAATAATGATGATTGACTGCTTGTTGTCCAAATCTCATGTTATCAAACAACTTGTGGTTTAACAGGCTCTCGCTTGTGCCAGGTCATTCGTAATTACCAACAATGATAAGCTCGAAGCCAAAAGCACGAGGCAAGACTGAGTCAGTCACAGACCAGGCACTGACTGTAACAATCAACACGCACTGCAATGCAATCACATCAGTTCATCAGCCATCCTCATCAGTTCGGTCTCACCTCACCGTGACATATTCCTCAAAACACGACGAGTCATGTCTTTGCTTGGTTTGCAAGGCCATACACTATAATGTATGGACAACAAAACATCGCAAGAAAGTGTGCTTCAAGATACGTTGCCTTGCTTAGATTTACAACTCATGGGAAAGTGCACGACAACACACTGAGACTGGTCACATCACGTGAGCCTCGTTGACAAAACTCTTGACAGCACCAATGCGCCCATCATCAACAAAGAACCTTGCAAAAAAAAAAATGCCGTTCAAACAAGCAATTGAGATTGGCAGCAAACCAACCAGTGACCCAAACCAAAACTTGAACATGTATAAATCATTAAAAAGACTTCAGATCTACCTCCCAGCATCCAATCAAATCCCTGCACTTATGCATAATAAGCATGTTTTGGAAAACGAGACCCTGAGACAAGTCCAGTGTCAATGACTGTTTGTTGTTGAAATGTTGGTGTGGATCAAAAAATGTAGACAATACAAATCACCACTTCACAATGACAACCATGCAAAATCTGTTGAACCACTTGACCAGCAAAGCGCACCTCCAAAGGTGAAGGCCAGCGCGACACCACAAAACCTTCTACAACACATTGCTTCACTTTTTATGATGAATTCCACGATATGCAACATAATGTTTCAATGACTTGCTGGCCTGAACCCTTGTCATCCCAAACCCTGTTTGGTCTCAATGTTTGCGCAACAATAAGCTAAACATTTGTATTGAATTTATTTTATTGTCATACTGGGCCTCCTTGGGTCCCGGATCCCGTCAAAGCCCTGCAGTGATGCTGGACCTTGACGTGGAAACCAGTCCCTTAGAAACCCGGAATTATTCCGGGTATTAATACTAACAGCCCAAACACGCAGAAATTCACGCAAGTAAAATAAGACGTTTAAAGTGGTGAGGCCCATAAAAAGGCAGTAAGACGATATGAAATCAAAGTACAGGACATCAAGACTCCGAGACTGCGGCAGTCCTTTGGCTCCAGGTGGGATCAGGTGACAAGTTTTATGGTGTGTGAGTGTCAAAATTCTTTTCACAAAAACAGTGTTTTCCAAAACGGTTTGGCAAGTGGTCATTGTTTTGCATTTTGCCCTAATTTATGGGATATGAAAGGTGGCCTTGCAGTGGAAGTTCCCAGGCCTTGATATCCCATTCGATGATGCTTCATCACCTGCGGAGAAAACCAATTTTAAAAAGTAGTTTACCTCAAGTGAGATGAACCAGAAGTGAGATGAACAAAAATGCAATGAACCTGCCTGTAGTCAATGGTGGCAGTTTCTCAGTCAAGGCATGATCAGAGCGGAAATGTGATGACGGCAAACTTCTAGTATTAGTCGCACATCATCATCATCATACAATGACTTTCTATAGAGTTTGTTCGACACTAATCAAATCTCATCTCTTTGGCCCGGTGCAGAGGTAAAATTTAACCAAAGCTTAAAAGATGTTTTTTTTTAAAGAGTTTTGTTTAATTTAAATATCTTTCAAAATTTTTAAGGAAAATATTTAATACCTATAAACATCCAATGACTTGCAGCCTGTCTTATCACTTCTATTTTGTTGCAGTGAAAGGATGAAGGCCTGTCTTATCACTTCTATTTTGCTGCAGCCTGTCTTATCACTTCAGTTTGTTGACCAACTTCTGCAAATGAAATGGTGCCAGCTGCAACTTTGAGACTACGACGATTGAGTTTGCAATTCTATGACAGCAACAGCAGCAACCACTAAACCGGTTGCGTTTTTTGCGCCGTATAACGGTTGCGTTTTTTTACTGCCGGGTTGCGTTTTTGTATTGGTTGCATTTTAATAATAATAGGCTTTCCAGCTAATAATATTATCAGTTTAAAAAGCCTCACAACAGTTCCAATAAGACAGTTACAGTTTTATAGTAGTAAACAAGTACACAGTTTACAAAAACTTCCCACCCGTTGCGCCTTGTTCAAGTTTAATCTTCATAAGTCTCAGTCAGGATCGCATGTCCAATCGATTGATCAGCGTAAATATATAAAAGTCCATCAACACCAAGTTTCTCAGCAAGCTAAGTTTTCCAAGTGATGTGTGTGTGAATAAACTCTGCTTCAAAAATACATGGATTTGATTGAGTTTGATTATTTCTTTCGATTTTGTGGTCTTATGGTTTTGAGATTTTGATCAAAGCCTTAGAGTCCGCAGGAATGTGGTGGTTTGTCAAAATCAGAAACTGGTTCCAAGTTGATGTTTTGTTTTTGGACTTTGCTTTGTCGTGGTCAGAAAATTCATCAACGTTTTCACACTGAATCATTCACATTCTAATGCATCTGAAATACGGTACTTGAACATCAGTAACGTGAATTGCAACAACGTACATAACAGAAACTCACATGACACAGAAATGATTCGCACATCATCTGCTCCCAATTTTCACTTAAACTCTTTGAGTTAGTGTATCTCTTTCTTGGAAGCCAATTCGCTTCACTGGTCAGCCCATGCGCGGAATCCCACATCCGTGAGCCTAAATGGCAACGTCAAAACTGCAATGCAAAACTGAAATTAAAACTGAACCCGCAACTGAAACATGAACAAAACGTCTTGAACCCAGACCTGAAAACATGACTAGCCCTGCCAGACCCAATAGCCAGGATCCCGGCCAAGCCCGTTAAGACGGGCTAAGCCGGGCTCGTGACGGCTGGGCGAGGCTGGGTTTAATCATGTTTTCTTGTTTATTTACATGTTTTTGCAACTGCAGGTCAGTTCATTGTCAAGTTCAGCCGCTTATCATTTTCCAAGCGCAGTGCCTCTGCCTTCGATCCTGCGGTCAGTTTTTTTTACTGTTTGCCTGGAAGGGGCTCAAGCATAGATGTCAAGGATCCCGGCAAGGAGCCATCGTCGTGACCAGCTCCGGCAGAGACTCAGCCATCGTTGTCGCCAGCTCCCTGCCTCTGCCTCTATCCTTCACTGTTTCTTCTTGGACTTCACAGCGGCCGCCTTGGCCTTGGGGGTGGCTTTAGCTCCAGGCTTCACAGCGGCCGCCTTGGCCTTGGGGGTGGCTTTAGCTCCAGGCTTCTTGAAGGGCCTCCTCATCCCTGCGCCAGTCACCGTCTTCTCCTTGCGCCGCTCAAGGTCAAAGGTTGACCCTTCGTCGTAATCAACCTCGGATGGCTCGTAGGTGGTGAGGAGACCATCATCGTCATCATCATATCGTCCATCACCGCCTTTGCCACCTTTGCCGCGGCCTTTTCCCGCTGTTCCATCACCATCCTCAGTCAACGATTGATTAATTTAAAAACCCACTTCAGTCATCAAACCCACTTCATCAAGATGAAACTGAGTCAAGGCACTTGGTCATGGCCGACCTTTTTTCGTGGCCGCGCCCATTCCTCCCGCACAATGCCGTTCTTCCGGTCCCAGCTCAAAAACTTAAGCCTCAAGTGTCACATCGACGACGACGAAAGCCTCGGCAAAATTGAAAAACATGCATGGTGCAAAACCAAAACTTAGATATATAATTTTTGGATCCAGGCTGCTCATAGCCCCACCAATTATTCGTCCTCCATCTTCTGACGTAGGTCTCGTCGATCACGTGCTTCGTCACCGGTGGCATGGCGAGACCGGTGGCGCAGGCTGTCTCAGCTTGAACCTCTAATTTTGAGTCGGCCCGGCTCTTAGAACGACAGCCTTCCAAAATCACATATCACGAAAAAATTTCACGGTGTCTCCTTCAAGCTTGCTACTGCGGTGACCAGCCCCAATATTGCTCGCCTACCAATCCTGTCGCTCACTATTCGCTGAAACACCAATGAAACAGCAATGACAAAGAAAACACCTTGACTTAAATAACAATAGGGTCAAGAACCCAGTCCCCGACAAAGCCCGGCAGCGTTGCTGGGCCTTGCTGGGCACAGGGGTCAAAGACCCTCAATGAACTCAGCCCAAACCAAGCGCGCGCTTTTCCAGACTCTGCGGAGAAGTCAGTGAGCCCGTCAGAAGTCAGATTGAACTAAAAAATGCAGCGGTCAAGGTCCGTCCAGCTGGTCCTTTTCTGTTAAATCAACGTGATGCATTTGTATAGATGAATTGACAAAGTCTGTGTCTGGTTCGTCGTGACATGCGACAAAGTTTAAACTCCACAATTTTGCTTGCCTTTGACGACATAGACTATAAACTTCAATAACAAGGTTGACGCCAAACATCCAATGAAACAGCATCAATGAACATCAAAGACAGACATCACACCATCATAAGACACGGAAGGTTGTTCCACTTAGGTCTAGATCGGTTCGTGCTCCTTCACAGCTTACTGGTCGTCATTGGCGTTGGGCGCTGGCTCGGCTGCGCTTCAAAGCCGCGAAGGCGCCCACGCCATGCACCTGGAGAGATGAGAGCAAGAATTAATGATACCGTTTTTCCCACCCAGGCATCCTGGCCCTGGATTCATCGCTAGGATTCTTCAGACCCTAGGATTCTTCAGTAGTTTTCTTTATCCATTAAATTAAATAATAAACACATAGACTGAACCACCGCCGCAATCGGAACTAGCGCACATTTTTCTTATCTTCTGATATCGATCTCAGCGGATCTTAGCGCATTTGCACGGCTCCAGGCAACTGTCCAGACAAGGTGAACAATGCTTTGACCTTTCCATGGAGCCTCCGCAGGTCTGTATCGATTTCAGCGGCCATCGTAAACAGCAAACGCTTCGTCTC